ATTTAGCTGAGTGGGAGTGCTAATGTAAAGCAGAAACAGAAGGAGGATGTTGAAAGGGTATATCTGATAAAGATCAGCCAAGTGTTGAATTCCAAGCCATGTCTCATAAGCAATGAGGATCTGTTGAAGGTTATTGTGCAGGAGAGTGATTTTAGATAAGTGTAGCGGCAATTTGTTATAAAGTGGGGAAAGAGAGTGACTTTGGGCAGAAAAACTGATTTGGGGGGGGGGGGTGACAAAGGAATCCAGTACTCAGGAAAGAATGTGAGGAAGGGAGGAAACTGAGAGGCAACAGACAAAAAGTCACTTTCTCCTCTGTCCTGTCACTTCTCACTCAACTGTGAAAACTTACCTGTGTTTTTTTCATCCAAATGACTTCTCCTTCCTTCCTTCCTTCCTTCCTTCCTTCCTTCCTTCCTTCCTTCCTTCCTTCCTTCCTCCCTCCCTTCCTCCCTTCCTCCCTTCCTCCCTTCCTCCCTCCATCCCTCCCTTGTTTTCTTCCTTTTTCACCCTCTTTTGTGGACATTGAGCAAAACACTGAAGTTTCAGTAAAAAAATTTTTTTTTCTCTTGCAGAAAGCAAATAAACAAGGGAGATAAGTAGTGACAAATGACCAAATAAGAGTGTCAGATTTTGGGCTGGAGCAATTGCACAGCAGGTAGGGCGTTTGCCTTGCACAAGGTCGACCTAGGTTCAATTTCCAGCATCCCATATGGTCCCCCGAGCACCACCAGGAGTGATTCCTGAGTGTATGAACCAGGAGTAACTCCTGTGCATTGCCAGGTGTGACCCAAAAACGCAAAAAAAAAAAAAGAGTGTCAGATTTTAGGGGTTCACAGAACAGGGGCCTCTGACTTACTTTGGTGAAGAAGTTACATCTTCAACCCAGGATAGAAAAATCACAAATAAGTCACTAGGGAAGCCCGTAAAGAAGGAAGCAAAGGTGCAGTATGGGAAAGGACTTACAGTGGCTGGGGTGTGTGGTGAACCTGCATTGCAGGGCTGGCATGCAGGGGTTAAAGGCTGTGCTGACAGAAAAGTTAGCAGGGATACTTCAAAGAGTTGAGATTGTACTTCAAACATGTTGGAAGTTCTTAGAGGACTTTAGAAGCACGACGTCAACTTTTTAAGAACTCGCTGAAACTGAGGCTTACCACCTTGAAAACTGATGCCAGATTGAGAGCAGGGTGTTACTCCTGAGTTAGCCACTTGATGGCTGTGTGACCTTGGGCGCACAATGCCTCTGAGCTCCAGTTGTTTTACAGCGACCCCCCCTTTTATATTTATTTATTTATTTATTTGGTCTCACCCGGCGATGCTCAGGGGTTACTCCTGGCTCTGCACTCAGGAATAACTCCTGTCGGTGCTCGGAGAACCATACAGGATGCTGGGGATCAAACCCAGATCAGCCGTGTGCAAGGCAAACGCCCTACCCGCTGTGCTATTCCTTCGTTCCCCCACCCCTTTTAAAGGCAAAACAAAAATTTTTTGATAATTAAAATATTTGCTGGAGCGATAGCACAGCGGTAGGGCGTTCGCCTTACACGCAGCCAACATGGCCAACCCGAGTTCGATTCCTCCGCCCCTCTCGGAGAGCCTGGCAAGCTACCGAGAGTATTGGATATGCCAGACACAGTAACAACAAAGTCTCCAATGGAGACGTTACTGGGCCCGCTCGAGCAAATCGACGATCAACGGGAGGGCCTTTACCTTTTACCTTTACCTTAAAATATTCATCATTTCTAACAGCACTGGGCCTGGCATATAGAAAGCTCTTCAAAACTGATAGCTCTTCTTGCTATTTTCCACATCATCTTGGACATTGTCACTTTTATAAAAAGAGCTCTACTAGTAATTTTCAAGCTGAGTCAGTTATAATGTAGTGAGTAAATGAGGCTGCTCAGAAGTTCTCTGAAATAACATAGGGAAAGATTCTTCTTATTTTTGGCCCAGTGCCAAGTGGTTGCTCAGAAAAAAAAATAAGGATTTGTGGAGAACTAAGCAGAATTTAGTGATTCTCGGAAAAACCGGTAAGAACAAAAAACAACAGTGTATTTTCAAGTTGGGTGATTGCAAAATTCTAGTAGTATTGACAAAGGAAACCCTTTCTTCGACCCACTCTGGTGCTACCTACTTAAGAGAATGTATCCTTGACTTCTTTGTATGGTCAGCCACCTTTTCAGTTTCATTTATTAGCTCAGGGACTCTGCTCATTAGATATCTGTCTTTTTCCAGAATGCCTCATCATAACCATAGCTGAGAATATTGAATTTAGAATCCTCACATTTTAGAAGTCTTAAAATGTTACCTACAAGTTGGTTTTGAATAACCTCTCTTGTTGCTTCCAAACCTTATTTTATTTCCAGATTATATAGCTCTCTCTGGATAGATATTAGCACCTGATAAGTACATAAATAAAATCTTAAAATTTTGCAATTAATATTATATTTGGAATAAAATATCACTACATATTACCAAGAGTATGGTACTTTTTTACTTTTTTCCTTGTCTTTAGAACATGAACTTATATTTTGGGTACTATATTACAAGCAAGATAAACAAAACCAGATTTAGCTTTTTACTTTTTTCTCTTCTTCAGAATTTTTTTTTCTTTTTGGGTCATACCCAGTGATGCACAGGAATTACTCCTGGCTCTGCATTCAGAAGTTACCCCTGGCAGTGCTCAGGAGATTATATAGAATGCTGGGAATCGAACTCAGGTCAGCTGCATGCAAGGCAAATGAAACGCCCTACCTCCTGTGCTATTGCTCCAGCCCTCTTCTTCAGAATTGTTAATGTTGTTCTGACTGAAGATAATTGGAGGAATCTGGAGGTGACCCAAGCTCTTATTCTAACAAAATGGTCTATCCACCACTACAAATGTCCGCCTTTACTATAAGGTGGGGTTAAGGCCATTGTGTGATTAGTCTGATTACTGAAAATGCCTTACAGATGACAAAGGATGGACTTTTGGAATTTTATGGGATGAGGTTAGTCAGACTGACGTGGTGTTCCCAACATTCAGGGAGAAATGTTTGTAGAAACATTATGAAAAATTTATCAGTTTTAATACAAGAGCAAGTAGCATATCATAGACAAGTTTGCAGTGCTCTCTATTGGTGACACATTCAGGGTATTGCATGACAGACTCACTGCCCAGACAATCTTGGGATCCAGGGCACATACTTGTGAGACCTGAACTTGGGAAAACAGAGCAAACACCACCTCCTGCTTTCCTGGTTGTCTTGATCTTAGTTTCGTTTATTCCTGAGCTCTAGTCAATAATGTCATTGATGTTAGATAGAAACGAAGTAGACCTAGGGGTCAAAGTTTATCAGAAAGAACTTCTAAGCAGCTGCTCTTTCTTTCTGCTGGTCACCTAGACTTTTCTCTCTTTTTCCTGTTTCAGAAATAGTAAACAAGAATTTGGAAATTGAAAAACACGGTGTTTAGGGGTTTCAGTATTTAACTTAGCTGCTCTCTCCTTTCCAGATTGTAAATGTATTTTAAACTTACTAAAATATACTTATGATAATGAAAGAAGGTAGGAATACCATGGTTCTTTCCCTATTGCCAGTTGTCTAGTAGAAAATACCTACACACCTTAATGTTTTATTTCCCTTTCTGATGACAAAACAATCCCACTGATCTTTGGGGATTGGCGGTGGAGAAATGCCTGCTTTCTTTGCTGGAAACAAAGATAAAAAAAAAAGCTTCAAAAAAATCAACAACAACAGAAAAATCAAACCACCATCCCCAGTCATAAGTCCCAAGCTTTTATTTATAAGGTAGACATCCATAGCCTTAATGAATGATAATTTTTTGAGGGGTATAATGTTTATAATACACTCTCATCCCATCTTCTGAGGTCAAATAAACATTTTTCCTTGGGGGGGGGACTATCAGGTTCCCTAGGATTACAGATTTTGGAAGGTGCTTTAAGAATTTGGCTCTCTCTCCCTCAGACTTATTTTGCTTAACATGATACCCTCTAATTTCATCCAAGTTGCAGCAAACTGCAAGATTTCATCTCTCTCTCTCTCTCTCTCTCTCTCTCTCTCTCTTTTTATATAGCTGCAAAAAGGAGAATAGACAGTATCAAATGATATCAAATCCTCAGACTTGGAGTACAAAACTGAAATCACTTAATAGTAGAGAGAAGAATAGAGGAGGGTGGGGAAGGAAGAGGCCGACTAAAAGTAACGCAGGGACATTGATGGAGGGTCTTGGGTATTTTGGTGTGATGAGATGTAGTACCTTTACAATCAATACCTTAAACATTGGCGTTCTTGTAATCATGTTACTTCAACTATAATTATAAGAAAAGAAAAAAAAAAGGAAAGAATTTGGCTCCCTGGTGAGGGCGCTGGTGTGTCTTGGAGTGAGCAAAGGAGTCCTGGAGAGGATGGGAATCCCATGTAGATCACTGACGAAAAGAAACCAGGAAGTACGGAGAAATTATTAGTCTGTTCAGAGCTCAGGATGGTAAAGACTAGAGACTCAGCGGGTTGGTTACTCATTAGCAACAAGGAAAGAGCCGGGGAGGTTAGGACTGGTCAAACTAGAGGAACGGACCTGAAGCATGGGCTGAGCTCCTGGCGAAAGCAAGATGTGGAGATTTCACCTGGAATCAACATCTTTTTCCTGTTAACTTTTTCTTGGGACCAAGAGCAAACTGACTTCTGTTCTCAGAGGTTTGTCTGAATGAACCTGTCTTCATTTTGTGTTTGTTGTGGGATTCCTAAGCAGACCAGGAGGAAAGGAGCACCTGCCTGGCCCCTACTCAGTCCGCCTGGAGAAAAGAGCCGGGACTGCTGAAAGCCGCTGGGTGAGTGCCTCCAGGCCAGCACTGCTGCAGTCCGGTCTTGCCAATTCCTGCAACCAAAGCTTGCTGAGGTGGTGCCTCTTCCTAGGCTGCCAGCCTGAAGAAGGGAAAGTGGATCAGCTTAGCCTAACAGGGGAGGGACAAGCCCCTCTCCTGTCCTCTCTATCAGAGCATCATGGGCAACATTTGCCAGAGATTTCGGGGCTACATGAAGCTCTGTCTTCCCTGCCTGTTTCGGGAGGCAGAAATCTCGATGGTGATTGAGAACCCAGGGGCCTGCAACCCCCCTGAGCCTGAGCCTGAGCCTGTCCCTGTCCCACCACGGACTCAGGAACCCTGGAAAAATCAGGGCCACTACTTTGTGGCTCTGTTTGATTACCAAGCTCGGACAGCAGAGGACCTGAGTTTCCATGCCGGGGACAGATTTCAAATACTGGACACTTCCCAGGAGAGCTGGTGGTTGGCCAGACGCTTAGAGGAAAGAGCAAACGGCCCTTGTTGGCAGCTGCAGGGCTATATTCCTTCTAACTATGTGGCGGAGGACAAGAGCCTGGAGGCAGAGCCGTGAGTAGTGCAAACACACTTTATTTTTCAACTCTCTGAGGGCCCATAATGAATCTTCCTCTCTACCTGCCTGCAATCCTTTCATTTTCAAAACTCTGCCTAGAAAATATGAGGAAGTACCGGCAAAAACCTCCTAACAGAAACACACCTCTGCTAAGTGAGAGGAAACTGGCTGGGAATTGTTGAAATGATCTCAGTTACAGTTTGTATACCCATAGGCCTGAGTACATTTTTCCTAACATCAACAAAAGGTGTACTTAATATTCTGCCTTTCCTTTCACTGTAAACTAAGATATGGCTCACCTTAATAACATAACCATTTCATGTGCAAATATGGCATACTTAGTACTTAAATTGCACTTAAAAATTTTGTTTTTTAAAAAAAACCTTTGAAGTAGGCGCTTCACGTCTAACCCTCCTCTTAATCCCATTTCTTCCTGATAGGCCTATGCTGGGCTTTCATAGACAATAACATTTATAAAATGGAAAATGTTCACTACTTTTCTCAGAAACATCATTACTAGACATTTTCTCTTAAATCTCAGATCTGGAATTATATATCCAAATCACAGAATGTTTTTGGTTTTTATTATGATAAGAAACTGGCCAGCTATGGAGAGTTAGTAATTTTAACAAGAAAGTCAATTGCAGTATTTTCTCAGAGGTGTTGATAAGAACTGTTATTTGAACAACTCCTATGAATTATAGTGGAACAGAATAGGGAACTTTTAGGTATTTAATCCATCTTCATCTATTCCTTTGTTCAAATGCCAGATACAATAATGGGCATGATGGGTGTGGTAGGATGAGGATTATGGTAGTAGTGGTTGAAAATTAGTAGATAAAGCCCAATCTTTACAATGAACACTTGGGGTTTTGGTGTGTTGAGATGCAAGTGGAAATTATTTTTGATCATATTCTTGTTGCTGGTCTCAGCAAAACCATTTGTGAATGTCTCTGAAAAGACAGAAGAATTTTAGTAGAGGAGCCACTGTGTGTTTCTTGTGTGCTTCTTCCTTTCATAAGAGCTGCAACATTCCTTAGTGGTCCAGAGAATAAAACAGTAAAGTGCCATAAGATATTGTTGCAACAACACAGCGGTAGGGCGTTTGCCTTGCACGCGGCCAACATGGCCGACCCGAGTTCGATTCCTCCGCCCCTCTTGGAGAGCCCGGCAAGCTACTGAGAGTATCTCGCCCGCACGGCAGAGCCTGGCAAGCTCCCTGTGACATATTCGATATGCCAGACACAGTAATAACAAAGTCTCCAATGGAGACGTTACTGGGCCCACTCGAGCAAATCGATGATCAACGGGAGGGCCTTTACTTTACTTACTTTACTTCTAAATTCAAATTCAAGCATGAAAAGAGGTTTGATAATTTTTGAGATTTTTCTCCAAAGCAGGTAATGATGGATATTATGTCTTGTACTATGCCTCAATAGAAATTTATTAAGAATTCGTGTTTTTGCTAGATGGAATTCATCAGTTTTCCTTTATTTATTTATTTATATATTATTTAAATATCCTCAGGATTACTCTAGTTCTTGCTTAGTGATCACTCTTGATGGAATTTGGGGAACCTTGTGTGGTGCAGGGGATAGAACTAGAGCCAGTTGTGTGCAAGGCAAGTGCTTTACCCACTGTACTATCTCTCTGATCCCTCAGTTACCAAGTGAGAAAAATAGTTTATGTGACATTTATTTTTTGTGGTAATCTGTAGGAAATATCATTACTCTTTCTTTGAATGCTTATTTATGTACATTTTTGTTTTCTCTGCCAATGACTCATGCAAAGTATGACATTGTATGCTTTGTAGTCAGTATAGCATATGCATACTTTTAGAATAAATATTATAATAACATTTAGTGTCTTGAACAATCTATGACTTTTAAATATTTTTAATTCATTTAACGGCTTAATACCTTCATGCTCTCATCTGTAAGTTCTCTGTGGTCTCTTCTACTTCTTGATTTCCTGATTATCTGAGAACATGAGCTTATGTTTCATATGTAGAGGTTTTGCTACATTTATACTTCATAAACAACAAGTGCTGAAGAAAGCAAATGAAGTGAAGCAAAAAAAAAAGCAATTCAAAAGTGCTAATGTTCTGGGTAACAGACTCAAGTACAGTGTACTTTCTTAATAGGTATTTTTTGCCTAAAGAACACAAAATGTAAAGAGTGCTGCAATGAACAAACAATTGCAGATGTCACTTCAACTATACTTTTTTGCCTCTCTGGGATATATTCCCAGGAGTGCTATAGCTGGGTCAAATGGCAGATCAAATTCTAATTTTTTGAGAGTCGTCCATACTGCTTTCCAAAAGGGTTGGATCAGCCGGCATTCCCACCAGCAGTGAAGGAGGGTCCCTTTCTTGCCACATCCGCGCCAGCATTGGTTGCTTTTGTTCTTGTGGATGTGGGCCAGTCTCTGTGGTGTGAAATGATATCTCATTGTGGTTTTGATCTGCATATCTCTGATGATTAGTGATGTAGAGCATTTTCTCATGTGCCTTTTTGCTAGTCGAATTTCTTCTTTGCGAAAGTTTCTGTTCATTTCCTCACCTCATTTTTTGATGGGGTTGGGTGAGTGCCCAAGAGCAGATGACTGGTTAAAGAAACTTTGGTACATTTACACAATGGAGTACTATGTAGCTGTTAGAAAAGATGAAGTTATGAAATTTACATACAAGTGGTACTACATAGAAAGTATCATGTTAAGCAAAATGAGTCAGAAAGAGCGGGATAGACACAGAAAGATTGCATTCATCTGGGGAACATAAAGCAACAAAAAGGGAGACTAACACCCAGGAATGGCTGAGATTAGTACCAGGAATTTTGCTCCATGAATGGAAGGCCAGCCACACGTTCTAGGTGAAAAGGAAGCTCAGATAGAGAAGAGAGCACCAAATGAAGGGTGTTGTGAGGACCCTCCCAGGGTGGGAGAAGCATGCTAAAAGTAGTCTATAGACCAAACATGATTGCCACTCAATGCCTCTCTTGCAAAACACAGTACCCAAAAGAAGAGAGAGAGAACAAGGGGGAATACCCTGCCACAGAGGCAAGATGGGACGGGGGGATGGGGGGTGGAGGGGATGCTGGGACCCATGGTGATGGATGATGGGCACTGGTGGAGGGATGGGCACTTGATCATTGTACAACAAATTTTGTTACAAGCACAAAATTTGTAAGCCTATAACTGTGCCTCATGCTGTTTCACTAATAAAAAAAGAAAAAAAAAGAACACAAAATGAAGCAACCAAAGTAACTGTGACTTTTTCTTTCTCATTCTCAGGGGCTATCTATAGTCAAGGGCTGGAGTGATAGCATAGCGGGTAGGGCGTTTGCTTTGCATGCAGCCAACATGGCCGAGTTCGATTCCTCCGCCCCTCTCAGAGAGCCTGGCAAGCTACCGAGAGTATCTCGCACGCACGGCAGAGCCTGGCAAGCTCCCCGTGATGTATTCGATATGCCAAACACAGTAACATCAAGTCTCACCATGGAGACATTATGGGGCCCGCTCGAGCAAATCGATGAACAATGGGAAGACAGTGACAGTGACAGTGATCTATAGTCAAGAATATATGTATGTATGTATGTATGTATGTATGTATGCATGCATCTATCTATCTATTTTGGTTTTGTGGTACTACTCAGCAGTGCTCAAGACTTATTCTTTTATTTTTTTTATTAATTTTTATTAGTGAAACACCATGAGGTACAGTTGTAGACTTACAAATTTTTGTGCTTGGGTTTCGATTATACGATGATCAAATATCCGTCCTTCTACCAGTGCCCATTTTCCACCACCATGGATCCCAGTATCCCTCCCACCCCCATCCCCCCATCCCACCCTGCCTCTGTGGCAGGGCATTCCCTTTTGTTCTCTGTCTTCATTTGGGTGTTGTGGTTTGCAAAAGAGGCATTGAGTGGCAATCATGTTCGGTCCATAGTATACTTTCAACATGCATCACCCATCTTGGGAGGATCCTCCCAACACCCTTTATTTGGTGCTCCCTTCTCTATCTGAGCTATCCTTTCCCCTAGAATGCCAGGCTGGCCTCTAAGCCATGGAGTAATCCTCCTGGTACTGATCTCGGCTATTCTTGGGTATTAATCTCCTATTTTGTTATTTTGTGTCCCCCAGATGAATGCAATCTTTCTATGTCTATCCCTCTCTTTCTGGCTCATTTCGCTTAGCATGATACTTTCCATGTAGTACCACTTGTATGTAAATTTCATGACTTCATCTTTTCTAACAGCTGCATAGTACTCCATTGTGTAGATGTACCAAAGTTTCTTTAACCAGTCATCTGTTCTTGGGCACTCAGGTCTCTTCCAGTTTCTGGCTACTGTAAAGAGTGCTGCAATGAACAAACAAGTGCAGATGTCACTTCGGCTACATGTTTTTGCCTCTCTGGGATATATTCCCAGGAGTGGTATTGCTTGGTCAAATGGGAGCTCAATTTCTAATTTTTTGAGAATCGTCCATACTGTTTTTCAAAACAGCTGAACCTGTTGGCATTCCCACCAACAGTGAAGGAGTGTCCCTTTCTCGCCACATTCGCATCAGCATCGGTTACTTTTGTTCTTTTGGATGTGGGCCAGTCTCTGAGGTGTGAGATGGTTTCTCATTGTGGTTTTGATCTGCATCTCCCTGATGATTAATGATGCAGAGCATTTTCTCATGTGCCTTTTTGCCATTCAGATTTCTTCTTTGAGAAAGTTTCTGTTCATTTCATTGCCCCATTTTTTGATGGGGTTGGATGTTTTCTTCTTGTGGAGTTCAACCAGTACTTTATATATCCTTGATATCAACCCCTTGTCAGATATGTATTCAGTGAATATCCTTTCCCATTCTGTAGACTGTCTTTGTATTTTGGTCACTGTTTCTTTTGAGGTGCAGAAACTTCTTAGTTTAAGATAGTCCCATTTGTCTATCTCTGTTTTCACTTGCTCGGCCAGTGGCGTGACATCTTTGAAGATACCATTAGCGTCAA